GGCCTGCTGTCATGTCACGTGCTGCTGTCATGGCCTGCTGTCATGTCACGGCCTGCTGTCATGCCACAGCCTGCAGTCACGTCACGGCCTGCTGTCACGTCACGGCCTGCTGTCATGTCACGGCCTGCTGTCATGTCATATGCTGCTGTCACACATCCTCTGTCCTCATCAGCTCCGGCCGCCGCGTGGTCCCAGCCCGAGGCCGCTCCACCCATGACCGCTCAACGCTCGGTGTTGCCGCTAGACAGTCATCCCTGTCGCTCCCTCGCCCGCACACTGCCACCGCCTCAGCTCAAGCCTGCCGTTCCCACACTCACCCGGCAGGCACCCCAGCATGTGGTGAGCTCACAGGGCCTCCTGGGCACCTTAAATTTTCCAGGCAACACCAGTGAAACACAACCTAACACCGACTACCACTGTTACCTAGAGCTGACAACTCAATGACAAAAGTGTCGGGTTTCTTTAGACTTGAGGGGGGACCATGACAGAGGGACTGAGGCAGCAAGAGCGCCATACCTCAACAGAGCAGGGGACTTCGGCCAGAATGTCTGTCTTACTGTCCCGTGGGCCTCGTGGCCCAGAACCCAGGCGTCTGCTCCAATCCGGCCCCCGTCCTGCATCCCGGCTCCACAGCAGGCTCTGCATGCTGGGCCCTACGTCACCCACCCACGCCCTGGGGTGCTGGCCACCGACCTGGGCACCTGGAATTATCCTCATGGGTTTGCCCATCTTCCTGAGAGCCCAGGCTCCGTGTGAGCTACAGGCCCGTGTTGGCACCACGTGCCGCAACACAAGACTCTCCTGGGCCCGTAGGCAGCAGTGCTGCCAACCCTCCAGGCTGGGCCCGCCCCGCCCCGCCAGCCCCATGCACCTCACAGCCACCCACTGGCGCCAGAGCCTCTTCTCTGGCTGCCTGCCCTCTCTGGGTTCCCCACTGGTCTGAGCAGTCCTCATAGCAGGGTTAGTGTCATCCATCCCCGCTCCTGGCACCAACCACAGAATGGGCATAAACTGGGCACTGTATCTGCCCATCACCCACGGTGTCCCTGCACCAACCACTGATGGTAGCAGGGTCAGATACTCCACCATCCCTCAGAGAGGAAAGCTAAGCCCCAGAGATTAAGGGCCTCGACCAAGGCCGCAAAGCAGCGCTGGCAGCCCCTGGGGGAAGGAGGTATGAAGACAGGGCTGACAGTCTGAGCTGTCAGGGCGCCTGGAGTCTGCCCCCATCACACGTCTCCTCCCAGGACCTGGCTGTGCTCCCTGCATGGCCAAGAGGCCTCTGCAGTAACTGACAAGGCAAGGGGCCCTGGGCAACATCTCAGAACATGGGGAGTCTAGAAGAACCAACAGGGTCACCTTCCAGTGTTGCTTCAGCCCAGGCCAGCCTCATGGCGTCCCGGGACATCGGGTCAGGGACACACGTGGTGCCGTTTTGAGAAGGGAGAGCGTCCCGGGACATCAGGTCAGGGACACGTTTGAGAAAACACAGCCAGAGAGAACCTGACAGCCACGTGGCTTTGCATGCCAGCTGGGCAGGGTCCTCTCTGCTTGCAATGTCTCAGGCACTCACAGCATCTCGCCCTGGAGGAAATACCTCGTCTGTGGGACTCCCTGAATCACCCGAGCACTCTCTCCTCGCCTCAGGCACCAGGGAGTGCGTATGCTTTACCTTTGGCTTCCCGAACTCCCCAAAGTGAGAAACGGTTCCTCTGTGGCTCTCTCTGTCCCCCTGCTCCCACCAAGGAGCTCTGGTAGCCTAGTGCCTAAGGCATCTGACTGCTAACCAGAAGGTTGGCGGTTCAAAACCACCAGCCACTCTGTGGAAGGAAGATGGGGAGATCTACTTCCATAAAGATTCACTGCCTCAGAAACCCAAAGCAGGCCGCTACCAGCTGGAATCGATTTGATGGCATTGAGTCTGGTTTTCTTGGTCTAGTCCCACCCCCCAAGAACCATGCGGACAACCTCACTGCTCCAGTGCTGGCTATGCGCGAGACCGAAACAGGAACCACGCCATGGGGTCCCTGCTTATCCCGCCTGTTAGCTCTCTAAATAACCTTTCCGGGCCAGAGGACGCCCGGCAAGTGGGTGGGAGCAGGGGAGACTCGCCTCCTTGTGGCCCTGGATCTGAGAGTTCACAAAGGCTCCGAGGATGTGGGAGGTGAGCGGCAGGTAGGCGTGTACCAGCTGCGTCTCCTGGTGCAGACAGTACAAGGAGAAGTGTGTGCGCAGCTCCAGGGTCTGGATGGCGTTCTCCTGCTGCGGAGGAAGGCGACTCTACCAGGCGGCCGCTCAGGACAGGAGACCCAGGCCCACGCTCAAGCCCCTTGTCTCAAGCCAACCCCTAAACCCCAGCGCTCTGCAGTCCCCCAGCAGGGCGAGAATCAGACCAAAGGAGCTGGGAAAGTCATCCCTCAGGCACCTGGGGACAGATCTCATCCCCACTTCCACCCACACGTGCGCTCAGCCCCAGCCCTGCATCCCCCAGGCTGCTCAGGCCACACCCTCTAGCCTACAGACCCTCCCCGAGGCTGCCCAAGCCAAGCCCTCTCGCACATAGGCCCTCCCCCAGGCCGCCCCGGCCTAGCCCCCTCACCTACAAGCTCTCCCCTGACCACACCCCCTCATCCACAGGCCCTCCCCTAGGCCCCCGGCCACGCCCCCTCACCCTAGGCCTTGCCCCAGGTCCCCTGCCCACACCCTCTCACCTATAGGCCCTCCCTTAGACCCTCCGGCCACGCCCTCTCACCCACAGGCCCTCCCCTAGGCCCCCGGCCACGCCCCCTCACCCTAGGCCTTGCCCCAGGTCCCCTGCCCACACCCTCTCACCTATAGGCCCTCCCTTACACCCTCTGGCCACGCCCCTCACCCACAGGCCCTCCCCCAGCCCCTCCGGTCACGTCCCTCGCCCCCGGCCCCACCTCCATGATGCGGGACTCCAACCGGTCTGCAGACTCGGGCTCCGCGCCCTGCGCTACGCTCGTCGCCTGCCGCTTTGTGAGGCTGTACTTGTGCAGGGCCCGCTGGTGCCGGTGCAGCACGCACTTCTCCTGCCGCTGGCACAGGTCCTGGGGGAGGGCGGCACTCACCCACCGGACCCGCCCCAGCCACCCCCACTCAGCCCCCCGCCGCAGGAAACCCTGAAAGGAGGCGGTGGGAGGCAGCAGCGTGGGGGAGGCGTGCACACCCGCAAACAATGGCTCAAAAATAAACGCGGTTAGCACCCCGGCAGAGAAGGCTCCTTGCAGTCTTTCTTGAGACAGCTCGCGCACACACCCACTCCACCCTGGGAGAGCGCTCTGCACTGCGCCTGGGTGCTCCGGCCGGTCCACCGAGGGGCGCCTCAGCCTAACCTGACCCTGTCATTCCCACAGTGCCTCACGGCCGGATCCGCACCGGCACCGACCAGACACCACAAGGCACAGCTCAGTTTAGAAGGGGAGCGAGAGAAACAAGGGGGGCAATAGTTCATTTCTTAAAAACACGTGTAACCAGGAAAATTAGGCTGTTTCTGGACCTCAGACTAAACACTCTCCAACTCCGGAAAGCTACTGTCCTTCCAGAGTGCCAGGGACGCGTGCACCTCGGAAAACAGGCCTGGAAATCGATTTCCAAAAAACTCAGCCACTGAGACCCGTGGAGTCATCTCTGCTCTGACCCACACAGGGGCACCAGGCATGAGACCCGTGGAGCCGGCTCTGCTGTGACCCACGCAGGGGCACCAGGCGTGGGAACTGTTCTGACAGCAGCTGGCTTGGAATTTTGGTATTCAGTGTCCACCTGGGAGAAGGTGGGCCATTCCGTGCCTAAGAGGGAGTTACACCCTCCAGTACCCCAACCAGAAATCTTCCGAACACTAGCCACAGTCAGAGCTGGGACTCAATTGTCCCCTCACTGTCCCTCTCAACAGAGGAACCTTCTGCAAGGCCCCGGGGTACCTGGCCAGCCCTCCTTGAGCCCCTCTGTCTCCTCAGTTAGGAAGCTCCCTGCACTGAACCGAGGCATGCTGTCTTAGGACCCCACCCACTGGCAGAGGCAGCCTCACTCTTCCCTCCCCATCCATCACACACTTGGAGAGGGCAAGCGTGTTAGCCACCCTGACCCGAGACAACTCCACTCTCTGAGCTGCCGGGGGACTTCACGCCAGCGAGACCAGAGACAGTCCAAGCCGTCTGCCCCACAGCAGTCCGTACCCCAGAGTCAAAGCAGAAAGACGCAAGGTGACACCCCGAAGGGCAGAGCAGCCACACCAACCTTGTAGGACTGGAGTAGATCCAGGAAGAGGTTCAACTTCTCCACCACGTCGCTCTCCTCCTGCTTACCCTGCGAACAACGGTGAGGTCACCAACAAGCAACGGGCAGCCCGCACCCACAGCCGCGCCCCTCCCCGCACCCTGCAGCCCCACAGCCTCTCCTTCTGACGCCGATGTCCAGCTGTCCGTCTGTTACCACAGAGGCAGTCCCTGGGCTCCTGTGACTCCTCCTGCGAGGTCCATGTGGACAGTCCTTCACGTCTTTCCGGTGAACAGATCGCTGGTCCTGCAGGATGCTGTCACATAATCTCTGGCATCGGTTTGTCACCAAGGCGTATTTTCCAGCTATTGGCCCTGCTTTGTTTCTGACTTTTCCAATCCAGTCACTGGTAATTACCAGTATTTGCATGTTTGGTCAATTTCAGACTGGAGAAATTGATTTTAAAAAAAAAAGTTTCATTTTTTTCATCTCTGGCTTTAGTGGTTGGTGCATGAGCTTGAGTAACAGTTCTCTTAACTGATCTAGTAGGTGTACGGATTCTGTCCTATCTCTGGCAGCGCTGTACTTCAGGACAGGCCCTGAAATGTTCTTTGTAATGATGAATGTGATGTCATTCCTCTTCAATTCGTCATTCCCAGCACAGTAGACCGTATGATTTTCCGATTCAAAATGGCCAATGCCACTCCATTTCAGCTTACTATGCCTAGGATACTGACCTTCAAGCATTCCATTTCATTTTTGACAATTCCTCTTTTGTAGATTCTTACATTCCACGTTCCAATTATTAATGGCTGTTTCCAGCTGTTTCTTCTCATTTCAAGTCTTGCCACGTCAGCTCCTGAAGATGAACTTGACTTGGCAGAGGCAGCTCTTGCCCAGTCGCACTCTTGATGCCCTCCGACCGAGGGGCTCACCTTCCAGGCACTATCAGACAGCGGCGTGCTGCGACTCTTGCCCAGTCGCATTCTGATGCCCTCCGACTGAGGAGCACATCCTCCAGCGTGCCATCAGACAACAGCGTGCTGCAATCCGTAAGGTTTTCAGTGGCCAGTCTTCCCGGAAGTAAATCACCAGGCCTTTCTTCTGCATCTTAGTCTGGAAGGTGCGTGGGAGCCTGTCCCCCATGGGGGACCCTGCTGGTATCTGAGATACCGGGGTCATAGCTTCCAGCCCCCACCACAGTCCTCCACCCCAGCAGACACTCTTCTGCAACGCTCCATGGCACTCCTAGGATGTGCACACTCCCCAGCGAGGACGCTGGGGGACAGGAGCCCCCAGGGCTGACTTCAGAGCAGCATTTGCGAAATACCAACAAGCCACGGTGCTGGGGAGCAGCCCCGACTGCAGCCGCAGCCCCGTCAGATGCCAGAGCCGCTCCTCCTTCAGGCCGAGTCGGAATCGGCATCCAGTCACAAGAGACCACCACCTCCTCATCTAGAGCCGTCCACCAGCTGCGCCACAGGAGCCGGGGGCTTCCCAGGCCTCCCCCCACGTTTCAGAGACAAGTGCGCCATTGGATGAAGGTTTCAACGGGGCTTTAGAAACGATCCCTCAGCCCCCCTGCTTGCTTTTCCAGTTTCATAGATTTATTTTCAAAGGGCAGAGGATGGAGTGTGGTGGTGAAGTCTGTGTCAGCTTGGCTGGGCCTGGCGGAGTGGCTGGGCAGCTGGATGTAGTGTTCCCCATGATGAGCCTGGTAATCAGCTCCATGGTAGAATCTACCACAAGCAGCTGAGTAGCTGCTTCGGGAATGTGGTCTGCTTCCCATACATGAGCAGCAGCTTTGGGAGTGGTCTCTGGCCTATGGCACGCTTGGACCCTGCTTGTAGCCGTGTCATTGTTCAGCAGCATGCCATGCTCTGCCGACGTTGGGACTTACAATGGACTTAAGTTAATGGCCTGCCATGTGGTTTGGTAACACAGGACTATGCCATTTTATTTGTCAACCTTGGGCTTCTTAGCCTCAGCAGCCAGCAGCTGTCTGAGTGAAGAAATGCCTCTAGCTCCAGTGGGCCAGGAGCTGAAGGCAGGGCTGAAGCCCAAGGCTGAGGGGCTTTCAGCCAGCCCCTAGAGTTTGTCGCTTTGAACTTGGACTTAAAGCCTCTAAATTGTAAGAATAAACTCCTGTTTGTTAAGGCCATCCCATTTGTGGTATATTCCACATGGCACTAGGGAACCAGGACACCCCTTATCACTCGAAGTTCCTGAAAACCCACCAAATGCACCGAGGAGAACAGGAAAGGGAACAGGCCAGGAGGAGCCTGGAAATCCTGAGGCCACGTTCCCAGGGCAGACTGAACCCTTCCCCTCAGCACAGTCCACTCTCAGGACACCAGAGGGGGTCATCTGGGCCATCGCCCCGACCTGCGACACAGGAGCTCACACGCTCCAGACACGGACCTGACGTGACGGAGGGGGCGGCCCCCCGCCCCGCGACGCCCTCCAGCCTCACTCACCTGCTGTGCAGCTTTGTCAGCCAGTAGTGCAAACTCCACAGACAGGCCTTTCAGCGCCTGCTTCAGGGACCCCCACACGCTGCTGCTCAGAGCGGCCCAGGGGGGCAGCGGGGTCGTGTCAGACCCCAGAGCACTAGGGAAAGCAAGACACAGGCCTTGGAGCTTAGTCTGCCCTAAACACCACGTCAGCCCAGGGCAGCCGCCATGTCCTCCCCTCTCGACCCAGCGTCTCCGAGAGAACCCGTGTGGAGCCAGTTCCGAGTGGTTAGAACAGAACTGAGCTCCACAGGGCGCTGGTGGCCGCAATGCTGGCAGAAAGGAGCCCTGGTGGCTCTACTCTGGCACATGAGGTGGCTTAGGGGTCAGGATCGACCCGACAGCACCTAGCACCAAGAACAATGTCTTTACAGACGCAGACTGCCAGGTCTTTCTTCCACAGTGCCGCTGGGTGAGTTCAAACGGCCAACCTTGTGGCCAGGAGTGGAGCTCCAACTGTGTGCACTACCCAGGGGCCTTCACCCAGAAGGTGCTCTGTGGAAAACCCAGATGTCTATCAGAAACGCAGGGTCCCAGGCCCCACCCCAAACCTACCCATCAACTCCTCATTTCAACAAGACCCCGGAGCTGCGCGTGCCATCGTGTGTGACAGCACCGTCCTGGGGCCTGCTGAGAAGCAGAGTCCCAGGCTGGAAGCTCCGCCCCCTTCAGGGGCGTGCACGCATCAAAAGGAGCCCTGGTAGCACAGTGGTTAGAGCATCAGGCCGCTAACCAGGAGGCCAGAGGTTCAAACTCAGCAGCTGCTCCACAGGAGAGAGACGAGGCAGTCGGCTTCCACAAAGATTTAAACCCACTGCCAAGTTGATTCTGACCCACAGCGCCCCTAGAGGACAGAGTGGAACTGCCCACAGGGTCTCCAAGGCTGTCAATCTTCACGGAAGCAAAGCCCAACCCACACCCACTGCCATGGAGTCGATTCTTACCCACAGCGCCCCTAGAGGACAGAGTGGAACTGCCCACAGGGTCTCCAAGGCTGTCAATCTTCACAGAAGCAAAGCCCAAACCACACCCACTGCCATGGAGTCCATTCTGACCCACAGCGCCCCTAGAGGACAGAGTGGAACTGCGCCACAGGGTCTCCAAGGCTGTCAGTCTTCAGGGAAGCAGGTTGCCTCATCTTTCTCCTGTGGAGCAGCTGGTTGGGTTCGAATCACAGACCTTTTGGTCAGCAGCTGAACGCTTTAACCACTGTGCCAGCAGAGCATCTCATAAAGATTGACAGCCTTGGAGACCTTGTGGGGCAGTTCCACTCTGCCCTCTAGGGGTGCAATGAGCTGGAATTGACTCCACGGCAGTGAGTAGATTTGTTCTTTCTCAACTCAAATGAATTCTTCTCACTGTACTCCTGACGATAAGAGCAACCGACCCCATGATTAGGACTCCCTGTTGTTCTGCCTGGTTACTACCGAACTCCCACCTACCCACCCCGTTCTCTTTTAAATGTGAGCCTTACTTTGCCAGCTCTGCTTTTGGAGCCAAAAGGGTCAGAACAGCATGCATTACAGTGAACTAAATACACGGAGCCCTGGGCCCGCACTGGTTAGGTGCCCGGCTGCTCCTCGAAGGCTGGGGGTTCCAGCCCACCCAGCAGCTCCTCAGGAGAAAGCCTGGTGACCTGCCCCCGGAAGACAACAGCTGAGGACCCTACGGGGCTGCTCTCTCCTGTGGAGTCACTGAGGTGCAAGTCGACTCAGCCCCACCAGAGAAACACACTCCGTGCTCCACGCCCATAAACAGAGCCCATAGAGTCCCTCCCCAGCTAGCTGGGCCCTGCGGCTGCTGCCAACTACCAGCTGCCTGGCCCCGGCTCCCACTCACGGCAACCTTGGGTACCAGCAAAGGCAACGCGGCCTGGTCCCGCACCAACCCCGCCATCTGTGATATGCTGCAGGCTGTCACATCCATGCGCCACGCCCACCGAACCCACAAGGCCACCTGCCTTAACTCCTTCCCAAATATGAGAAGGTCAGCAGCGTTGTCGATGGCCCTGGAAGCAATCCGCTCGGCCCGGTCCCGGAGCTTGTAAAAGCTGTTGTAGATGTTTCGAATCAGCTCCCGGCTCGCCGCAAACTGGGCCTGGATGTCAGCTGGGAGGAAGTCCTAGGGGACGAAGGGGAAAGGCACTGAACGCTGCCGGACCGGAAATGGCCCTCAGAAAGCAGCAGCCCGTCCCCCGAGGACGAGCGGAGCCGGGTCACAGTGAGACCCTCCGTGACGCCGAAATGCTCCCAGACCAGAAATGCTTCTCAGAAAACAGCAGCCCGCCCACCCCCACCAAGGATGAGCGGAGCCGGGTCGCGTCAGACCCCGACACACCCCAGCCCCCCCACCCCAGCCCCAAGCACCCTCCTCTGCTCTCTGATGTCTGCCCTCAGCATCTCTTCTCCACCACTACATCCACATAACAAGGCCTAAGCCAGCCCACGACAGTGAGACCAGAGTGTTCAATACAACGTGATCACAGGTACCAGTACCAGTGACCACAGTGCACACGCCTCCACGTGGGTCAGGGCAGAGCTGGTTCCACTGGGTTCTCAGCTGCTGATTTCTTAGAAGTAGGCTGCCAGACCTTCCTTCCAAGGCGTCTCTGGGTGAACTCAAACACCCAACCTTTGGGTGAGCAGCAGAGTGGGCTCACCGTCTGCACCCCCCAGGAACTCGGATCAACCTGGAGATCCCGTCCGCAGCAGCTCCATGACCGCTAACGGTGCTCAAGCTGCAATGATACACATGTGCTCCTCAAAGACGCACCGCTTGAGGGGGAGCCCAAAGGCGTCTAACAAGCTTTGGTGCTGTTATGGGTGCCAGCAAGTCAATTCCAACTCATGGCAATCCCACGGGACAGGGCACACCTGCCCTCTAGGGTCTGCTTAGCTGTCATCTTTACGGGGCAGGGTGCCACGCCTTTTCTCCCATGGTCCCACTGGGTGGGTTTGAGCCGCCAACCTCTAAGGTTAGCGTCTCAGCGTAAGCCATCTGAGCCACCCATGGGCCTTCTTACAGCTTTAATACTAACCTCTTTTAGGCTTCCAGAACAGAAAGCGTGAGGGCATACAGTAAAGCCAAAGGATTATTTCTGCTGGAAAGCAGTTTAAAAAGGGAAAAAAAAACAAACTACTAGCAGTTCTTTAATCCTTTTTTGGAGAAAAAAAAAAATGCCACATTCTATAATTTTAAAGAGACAAATGCAAAAATCAAAAATCCAGCCCCCTGAAGTCTGAAAACTAATAATGCCAGCACAGAGGCAGCCCACCACCTGGCCGGGGTGCATGGTGGGCTGTGGTCCTGAGAAGCCCTGCCCACGTCTGGCCCTGGGACCTGGGCAAGCTCAGCACAGCCTCTCTGAGGCCATTTCCCTGCCTGTAAAATGGGTACAACATCACCTACGTTTCAGAACCACCCTGAGCGTTAAGTGAGAAAACCACGCAACACATCTTAGCATATTCCTGGCATACGAAGGAAGCAAGAGAAATATTATCAACTAAAAATGTAAAACTTAAACAAAAAATACCCCCTCAAGGCTTCTAAACAAAACCACAGTTTAGCTTAATTAGTAAAGGAAGTCTGCTTGAACTTCCAATAAGATGGAGGAAAAGGCAGACAAGCAACACAGACCCTCTTCAACAAAGAAAAGAAAAACCAATTGACAGAGATGCAGAAGATAATCCTGGAGCCCTGAGCTTTGAAAGGAAGTATATAGACATGGATTAGGCACCAACTAGTGGAAAACCCTGAATGAAAACAGTGAGTACAGAGCCGGGTCACAGTGAGAACCCCCGTGATGCTGAAATGTTACCAGAAATGCTAAGTGTATAGGTGTCACTTGCTAGAGCAAGTATAATGCTTTTTCAGCTTCTGTAAAAGTCTGCTTGCAAAGGCTGAGTCCTAGTTGAAGCTCCCAGAGCAGATGAGGCCTAACCACAATGCCAAGGAGTTTCTTTAGAGGTGTTATTTGCTAAATTGAGTTTAACATTGCTTTCTGATTCTGTAAGAGATTGCTTGCAAAGGCTAGAAAAGAGATACTCAATATTACACCCCACCAGCTTGTGGGTTTTGTCTTTATAAACCCTGTGAAGCCGCTCTTCTGGGTTGACAGCCCTTTCTGGCATGAGCCTCCTCTCAACCCCGGAAATAAAGGCTTTAACGCTTGATTAGGTCTCAGAGTGCTTGGCGACTCCGTATAGTCCATCTCGCCTTTAATACATAACAAGAGCAGCACGGGAAAAACGAAAAGTTACCTACAAGGAGTAACCAATAAGACTAAGCTCAGATTTCTCGGCAGACACCACGCAGGCAAGAAGACAATGGGGTGAATATATAAAACCCTGAAAGAGAAAAATTTCCAACCAAGAATTATGTACCCAGAAAAAATGTCCCTCAAATATGATGTGAAATTAGGACATTTCCAGATAAGCAGAAATTAAGGGAATTTGTTAAAACCAGACCAACCTTACAAGAGATGCTAAAGGGAGTCCTTTGGACAAAGAAGCAACAACAGCCAACAACAACTGACCATTAACCCACATGATGACATAACCCAGAAACCAACCCAGCTATGGAAGTATCCAAAGTAAGTAAGTCTACAATATTGTAAACAGGGAACCAGAGACATCAATTGACAGGTGAGGACAACTACAAACCAAAAAGAGGGAAAAAACTGTGTCGTTACAGAACTTCTAGATGGTAGACAAGTCAAGACAACTGCAAGACAGAAACAGACTGTTCTAAACTTGGGAAGAAAACTATAAATCACAGGGTAACCTCAAAGAAAAGTGATAAAACTTCACATCAAAAAAGAGGACCAGCACAAATATTCAGCAAATACTAAAACAATAGCAATGAGGGAAGTGATAACACAGTTCATAAACAAAACGAGCTCAGCACAGAAAATTATATGGAACAAGGAAATCACCACCACAAAAAAGCACATAACAAAAACGAGAGCAACAAATTCATATTTGCCAATAATTACATATCTGGCGAGGGACTTATCTCTAAGATTTAAAGTGGAAGATGAATGCCCCAACTATGGTACGTACACACAATGGAATGCTGTGCAGCATGAAAGAATAATGTAGAGTCTGCAAAACCCCGCATCATATGGATGAACTTGGAGGACATTATGCTGAGTGAAGTAAGTCAATCACAGAAGGACAAATATAGTATTGGTTCATTGTTGTGGAGGGTCAAGGAAATGTTTACATATGGAGGGAAACTTTCTTTGTTGGTGGCCAGGGGTGAGAAAGGAGGAGAGGGAACACTGCAAAAAAAAAAAAAAAAAATGCATTGACCCATGTCACTTTATTTTGTATATTTCACTGTACATACATTATATTTCAGTAAAATACATTAAAAGAAGTCTGCCTTGAGCACTGAGCTCTCAGAAAACTATCTGCATGGAATCAGAGTCCATAGAAGAGTCTTGACCAAAAGGGGGAAAATGCAAAACAGAGTTTGAAATTCTCATGGACTCTAGACTTTCTGGAGCCATGGAGAGTGGATGAACCTCTGAAACTATTGCCCTGAGATAATTTATAAACTTTAAACCAAAAATAGCTCCTGAAGTCTTCTTAAAAGCAAACAGGAGTTCAGCTAGAAAGCTGTCTTGAGCCCCCACTCTGAAGGTCTATCTCTGTGGGATCAAAGAGGCAGCAGCAACCCGAGAGGTGGGACAGGAAGCTCGGGTGCAGAGCACTGATGTTCGCGGGGAGCAACATCTCAGAACAGGAGGTGGCGGTGGAGCACACTGAAGAACGTGACCCCTGGCGCTGAACGTGACCCCTGGCGCTGAACGGTACATGCAGAACTGATCCGACGGTACCACTTCTGCTGGGTCTGTCCTCAACAACCAAGGGAGGAAAACGAAGCCTCAGAGAGCGCATCACTGGCTGCAGCTAAGGGCCGCGTCACACCTACCTTGGCACGAGCGGCCAGTTTGCACCGCTGGAACTCGTCCCCAACACCCTGAGCCGACTCCTTTAACTTGTTCTGCACATCCTGCAAAGGCGAGAAACCACATCACACTCCAGCCCCGGCCAGGCAAAGGGCAGCCAGCCGGGCCACGGACGCAGGAGGAGCCCAGACGACAGCTTCCCACACGGACCCCTCGGCCCTCAGCTGCTCCGCTTAGTTTTCTCCCCAGGTTGGCCATTCCAGTGTCTCGTGGGGCAGGAAGCCTGCTGTATCAACAGTCAACAGGACAAGGCCTCCCACCTGGAGCAAGAGGCCGTGACAGCATGACTCCCTGCAAGCCAGGGACCCAGGGACGTCTGTCTGTCAGAGACGTCTCTCTGTCAGAATCCGCCAGGCTCTCCATGGGGCACCAGGGGAAGCTGGGGGTCTCTGCCCATGCAAGTAGACCCCAGGCCAAGGGGTCCCCAACACTGGGAGGGAGAGGGAGAAAGGGCGGGTGCTCCAGGAGAAACAGCACCGCAGCCCTGGGAAGGGGGCACCTTGGCAGAACCCAGCTTCAGATGAAGCCACTGAGCCGCAGCCATCTGTGCCCTGAGGAATATTCCAGAATTTCAGAGATGCCTGCAAGAGCCATCAGTCCAAATTCTCCCCATTTACCAAGAAACAGTAGCATGGGAGGAAGGGTCAGGAAACAGCTGTCTGTGGAAAGAAAATGGGCAGATGGGGCTCAGCACCGAATAACAGACCTGTGTGCCTCTGGCTCCTTCCATCTGTCCCAAGCCCAGGGCCAGGAACCAGTTCATTCTGGTTCAACCTCCAGCTAGGAGTTCACCTGTCCAGCCCAGAGAGACTGAATCAGAATCTACATTTTAACACAATCCTCGAGTGATTCTTGTGTACACATCTATGTATTCTTGTGTACATGTGTGTTCTTGTGTACATGTGTATGTGTTGGGTACACGTGTTCATGTATACATGTATGCATTCGTATGCACAAATGTTCATATACACGTCTTCTTGTGTGCACATATATGTATCTTTGTGTATCATTGTTTTCGTATACACTCATATGTGTTGTGAGCCCATTGTGTTCTTGTGTACATGTTCTTATGTACACATTATACGTTCTTGTGTTCGTGTATTATGTACATGTGTTTGTTCTTGTATAAATATATATGTATTCTTGTGTACAATGTATTCTTATATACATGTATGTGTTCTTGTATACTCATATATGTGTTCTTGTACACACATATATGTATTCTTGTGTACACATTATGTGTTTTTGTGTACATGTATATGTGTTCTGTGTACATATAAGCGTCACCTGGGGATCCTGTTACTACGTGGATTCTGATTCAGTCTCTCTGGGGGTTAAGGTGAATTTCCAGCTGGGGGTCCAAGCGGGATGAGCCAGTTGGAAGCCCCGCCCGAGCACGCACTGCACACACACATGTACTGTGCACACCGCTCCCTCCTTCACAGGTCTCGCCACATTCTTCTCACAAGACAGATGTCTGTCTCCAGGGGCCTTTCCAGCCCCAGGGCTCAGAAGGCCTGGCCTCCTGCTCCAGGGAAGAACCTCTGGCCCGGGTCCAGTAGGGGACGCAGGACTGGCAGGTGCCTCCACCCACCGCGGGCTGTCACAGAGGGACAGCTAATCTCAGTCGTACTTGGGTCAAGGCTCGGCCGCTGCTCAGGAAACAGGAAGCAAACCGAGTGCTGACACGGCACCGCTGGAGCTGGAGCAGTGGTCTGCGTCTCTGCGCGGCAGCAGCCGCACCAGGCCTGGGGCCCCCTCGTTGGTGCCCAAGGGGACCTGTCAGAAGGGTCCCCATGTAACAGTGGAGAACCTCAGAACCCCAACTGCCCAGGCAGTGTTTGTCACTGGACCTGTCCCTCTCTCCCACCCACGATGGGTAAACCCTCTCTCCTATCAGCCTGCAGGGAGCAGACCCCAGGGTCCAACCCCAGGAGAGAGAGACCGGCAGACTGACAGACAGACGTCATCTGTGGGGGGGGGCAGATCCCACAGCTTCCTCAGCCAGGGCCAAGAGCCCAGCCTCAGCGTCTCCTCAGAACAGCCCGAGTCTCCTGGCAGGACGGGTCAGCGGTCTGGGGAAGCCAGTGCTCTCGGCTCTGAGTGAAGCAAGGACGTGTGCAGATGCTCTAACCTTCCAGAACACGAAGCCACGCGAGCAGACCTCGTCTCTCGTGCTTTGGTTATGTTGTCACGAGGGACTGGTCCCGCCATGCTTGGCCAGTGGAAGGTCAGAGGAAAACAAGACGACCCTCCGTGAGATGGACTGACGGCGGCCGCAGCAACGGGCCCAGCACAGCGAGGACCACGAGGCCCGGGCGGCGTCTCCTTCCGCGGTACACGGGGTCGCCGTGAGTCGGAGCCACCTGAAGGAGGCTAAGCTGGCTTTCCGCTTTGCTGATGTTGCCTTTTTAAGGAAACACTGATAGGCACACCTTGGAGATCCTGCGAGTTCGGCCCCAGACCACCGCGATGAAGTGAACGCCGCAGTGGAGGGCGCCCCACGTGTTCTTGGTTTCCCAGCACTAAGAAGAGTTGTGTTCACACTCCACTGTGTGTATTATGTGTGCAACAGCGTCATGAAAAAGCACGGGTATCGCAGGAACGGCCCAAATGACCACAGGCACAACGCGTGTACACGCCACTGGGAAAGGGCGCCGACCAAGTCACCCAATGCAGGGCTGGCAGAGTCCCGCGTCACCTGCAAAGCGCAATACAGCGAGGTGTGCCCGTGCTTGAGCCGGGAGCCTCCAGTTCCTCCGCAAACCTCCCAAGCAGCCCGCGGGCTCCTCCCCCGCCGGACGCCCGATTCCACGCTTGGCTCCACGAGCGGCCAGGCCACAGCCACGCTGTAGCAGTGACTCTAGACCTCATCTCTCGATGGAAAGGGAATTTACGAAATGTTTTTTTCTTTTTCTTTTTGTAACTCCTACTGCGATTTGGCTGGTTTGCAGCGCAGACTGGTTTCCCGACAGCCGTGCATTCCGCTCCGTGGCACTGACTGCAGTCCGCAGCGCGTAACAGCGCTCCCCACCTCCCTCTGGCTCCCAGCCCCCCGTCCTTCCTTCCTACCCCTGCCTGCCGCCGGCGCTTTCTTCCGAGGCAAACACGGCCCTTTCGACCTCACGGGGGGGACTGTTCTAGGACTGTTCTGGTGCTGCTGTTCACCATGCAGACCGGTCCGTCTCTGGGCTGAAAGCTGAACCCCGGGCTGAGTTCAGGTCCAGGACTGAAGGGTGACTGAGGGCCACAGCCTAGGGGAAGGGATGCTTCTAGGTTTCCCACATAATCCGGCTTTGGGTGGATAAATAAGTAAGTCACACTAACAAGAGAAAGAAAAGTGGCTGTCACCTCGATTCCAACTCGTGGCAACCCCGTGTTACAGACTAGAACCGCTTCACGGGGTTTTCTTGGCTTCACGGGGCAGAGTGCCCTGTGTCAGCTCTGGTAGAGTTCGAACCCCCAACCTTTCAGTTCGCAGTCGAGTCGACATGTTTGCACCACCCAGAGAGTCCCAAGTCATGCGGTACAGTGACCCCCAGCTCTGAATCCCCACAGGGACACACAAAACCCACAGTTGAATCCCGGCCACCTCTGCAAACTCCCACTCCACCTACTATTTGGAAAGAAAATAAACCTGATGTCAGTCAGGTACAGTAACTTCCTTCAGGGAAGTGGGGTGTGGGACCTGAGGAAATGTAGGACGGATGGCAGGGCGTTCACAGCTGTGCGAGACTGGCCTGGTCTTACTCACAGAGCCACTGAAGGACAGGAACAGCTTCAGGACCACGTCCTCGGAGAAGCGGGGGTGCCGGGCCACCAGGTTGATGAAGCGCTTCAGGGCCCGTCTCCGGGCCTCGATGAACTCCCTGTCGGCTGCGGGAAGAACGTGGGCGTGACGGGTGGAACGTGCTCCCTGAAAAGGCAGGGACCCTGGCCTCGAGCCCTGCGGCCACAATGTCACCTGGGAGTGGGTTCTCTGCTGTCAACGGGCAGGATTGGTGTATGGTGTGTGTTCTGAGACGGAAGAGCAGACTGAGCAGCCAGCCAGCAGAGATGGGAGGACAGAGGCCCAGCCACATGGAGATTGCCAAGGACAAAGGAACATGGCTAAAGAGACAAGGACCTTCCCCTGAGCACAGAGCGGGAGAGGCCTCCCTGCAGAGCCCACAGCCCATGGAGGGAGAGAGAACCTTCCCCCAGAGCCCACGGAAGGACTAGCACCCCCAGCCCCCTCACCACGAGGGGTCCACGTCTGTCTTTCAAAGGCCCCACCTGTGCTGCTTGCCTCACAGCACCACCAGGGTGACCGAGACACCGAGACAACGGCTCACGCACCCAGGCCCAGAGAGGCCTCGCTCAGGCCCTGACACCTGCCACCCTGAGGCAGAGCCTGAAGTAGCTCAGGACGGAGCTCACAGCGCCCCACGCAGCTGCCGTAGGACTCAGTGCAGGGACAGGGCCGGACAACAAACACGCCAGAGGCCGAGGGGAAGAGAGGTGCAGAGCCCAGCCCACATCCCGCCCCCACAGAGCTACGGTCGTTGTGTGCTGTCGAGTCGGACCCAACCCATAACGACCCCTCCTTGCGTTTCCGTACGGAAGTAGGTTGCTCAACCTTCCTTCCGAGGAGTGGCTGCTGGGTGTGAACCGTGCCAGCCTCTGGTGAGCAGTCAAGTGCCTTAGGCACTAAGCTACCAGAGCTCCTCCCACAGAGCTGGCCGGCCAAAAACAGCCAGGTTCTGACCAACAGACTTGGAACCAAGTTTGAGTCCCAGCTTTGACCTTAACTGGAAACTGTCTCTGTGACGCCTTCCCAGCACTTCTCTCTGAGCAAGCGGGTTCTGCGTGTGTTAACTCGGCTTTCCCTTTCTCATCACTTTGTAACACACCCACCACTAACTGCTTTCATTCAGCTAAAAGGAGCCCTGGTGGTGCAGTGGTTAAGTGCTGGGCTGCTAACTCAAAGGTCAGCAGTTCAACCCCACCCAGCAGCTCCACGGGAGAAAGACCTGCTGATCTGCTCCCATAAGGATGACAGCCTTGGAGACCCTGTGGGCAGTCCCACTCTGTCCTCTAGGGGCGCTGTGGGTCAGAATGGACTCCACGGCAGTGGGTGTGGTTTGGGCTTTGCTTCTCTGAAGACTGACAGCCTTGGAGA